CATTTTGGGGCGGTTGTCAAATAGCGAAAATGCCCACCGAACAAATCTGAGGCATACTTCAGACGCATGTTTTTTTTTTTTCCCCCTCAAGGAAATAGTCTATTATCAAAATTCCAAAAAGTGTAGACCGTCCACTGAATTCCTTCTTTGATCTCGTCCTTGCAGCTTCACCATGTGGAAGGGCCGCGTGTACTGTTGCGACCCGCAAGATACGTGGGTGCAGGAGCTGATGGCCAACATCGACAAGAAAGCCGTCAAACACGTCAAGAAAACCGCCCCAAAGGTCTTTTACCGTTTTCATGACGTTTCTCGTTATTTACTTTATGTAGTGCATCGTAAATCTGAGCTTTGTTTGTTTGTTTTGTTTTTTTTTTACAGCGCCAAAAGAGTCGCTTGATCAGCTGAGTGAGGCCTCACCCTCCTGGAGAAAAAGGCAATCGACGTTTTGACTTTCACTGTTGACTTTTTTTTTGCATTCACTGGACTTTTTATTGTGACGACGCGTGACCATGATGTGACGAAACAGTGTTTACGTGCAAATGGAAACCATAAAATGTGAATCTGAACTGTGTGTAGCATGAGCGCTTGCTTAAACATTGTGACAATAAAACTGCTTAGCCATTCAAACTCGGTGTGGTTTATGTTCATGTGTATTTACTTAGTTATAAAGTTGTCGAAGGATACGGTGGTGTTATCTGTCCGCATGTTTTACTCCACCGCTTGTATTCAACAGTCGCAGCCATCAATTAACCGTTAGAGCATGCGAGTGGCATTTTGAATTGTTGGCTCGTTACTTCTAAATATGCAACGTGTGTAATTCTCTTTGTTTTATTTTAGTGTGAGAGTACATTTTCAAGTGAGAGGGGCAGTTTGACGCCTCTTTTTTTTCATGAATTGTTCACTATTTGCCAAACTGCCTCTTACGCTAAAGTTGAATTGAGCTCACTGTCACCAGAAATCGCTTGTACGTCAAGGCTGCGAGCTCTTGAATAGCTGCTAAGTGCGGGGGGGGTTACTCATAAGTCCAGTCACCCTTGCCATTATGTTCATATTCTAATTCAAAATCCATCCCTGTGGGTGGAGCCCGGGATCATGAAATCAATTCTTTGCTTCTGTTCCTTTGGATTTCGTGTGTTTATTTGATTTTTACAGCCTATCAAATAAACACTGCGCTAAATGAAAAAAAAAAAAGCATGCGGTGCTTACATGACGATACAAACCGCAGAGGTGCGTTCGTCCAGCCGCTTGAGTCTGTTGCGCGTCTCCGTCATGCGCACGTAGCCGCAGCCCATCGCTTCCGCCGACGTCCTCCTCTGGACTCGGTGCAGCAGGATGCGGTAGGCGCCAGTGACGGGGCTCCTCAGGCCGGGCCCGTTGTCCAGGAGGTGGCGCTCCGTCACACCCAGCTCCTCCAACGCCGCTTTGACGCTCAGGTCGTCAGAAGCGAGCGCGGCGGGCGGCCCGCAGAGGTGCGCGGGCGTCGGGCGGCAAGCGAGGTACGCTTGCGGATAGTCGACACCCCTCAACCACTCGCAGGGGGGGGGGGGTGTATCTTAATAAAACTAAATGAGGAAACTGCGGCCACCCATGTGCCCAAGCCCAACAAATTTAATTTGGAGATGCGAAAAACGACTGATACAGTATTACTGAAGATTATTGTTTTTAGAAAGTATAGAGTGTCAATGGTACGGCCTAGGCTAGGGTGAACCAATGCTACGTTTTCCAAGTGTTAGCATTTCCGCCTCTCAAAACACCGCTGTCATCAACAGACAATCAACCTGACTATTTTCATCCAAAAGGAATCTATTTGAGGTTAAAAAGAGGATGGCGTCGTTCATCCTGACAGAGCAGAACAACACTCTTCGAGTTCCGCTCCACGAGGGGCTTAAGTGCTGTACTTGAGACCCAGTGGGGGTTTAAAGAGACAGCGACGCTATCAGATATCCACTTGGACACTCAGGGCCCATTAAGCAGCAGCAGCAGCATCCAATGTCATGCTACATATCCATTTTTTTTTTCCTATTGTGCAATTGAACCTAATGTGTGGGGCCAGTGACTGTGAAATTTTTCTTTTTGTGCACATTTTTGTCAAATTAGTAATATTTGAAAAGAACAACAAAAAAAAAAAATCGATCATGCCATGACCACAGCCAAAAAAAACATGCAAATACCAGCACGTACACCCAAACAATTTACATTTCAATGAAACACAGTCTCAGGATTCTTTTCCAGGAACAATAATGGTTCTCCCATTTTCAACACAGAGTACCACCTCAAATAAGCCTTGGCTCTCCAAGTACCACCATGGAAAATCTGGTTGAAAACAGTTTTAAAGAGAGAAATGCAAATGCAACGTACAGAAAAGTGAAATATAACCGAACTGTGTCATGGATTAAAAACAAACAAACAAAAACATTGAAGCCACGGTCACATGATGCAGTTTGAACGGTGAATTCATTTCTTCTTTCGCGTACCACTCGAGGAAGCATGCACACTCACATAGAATCACTGCCTTAGGGGGGAAAAGAAATCATTGCCAAGCAATAACAAATGTCATTCATTTCAGGCATTTTTAAATGATATGCAATACATTTTCCCCTAAAAAAAATGCTAGTAAATCATGTCTGTAAAAAAAAAAATAAAAAATCCAGTTAATAATGTCCATATTCCCACACAGGCGAGAACATCTGGGTCATTCCAGAATTTTTGACAAACAACTCGTCAATGTTCTGATTTTCTGCGACACTTTCCTCGATAATGATAGCAATAATAAAAGACAAATAATAGTTGCTTAAGTCCCAGTAAAGGAGCACAGCAGCCTATCCCAGCTGTTTTTGGTCAGTAGGCTGAACTGGTTGCCAACCAATTGCAGAGCACGATGTAAATAAGTGAAGAAGAAAAAAAAAAGTCTTATTCTGATCATATACAGAGCAGGGTTGTATGAGGAAGAGAGACATTCAATCGAGGCTAACTAGGTTGTGAAAATTAAATTTGGTGATTGGGAGGTGGGACAGGAGAAAAAATCCATTTTGGGGGGTACTCTAGACTGAGTGGGTATTTTTTAAATTATTTTTAAGCATTGTTTTGTTAGTTTTTTTTGGTTTTTTTTTTAGATTTGGTCTCAGGCAAGTCAGTTTATGCAGAAACTGCATGTTTTATTATTTTGTGTGGAGATTATTTAAAATGTGATGGGAGGGATGTAAAATGTCCTCCCATGTTACAGGATATTTTTACAACTTTTCCCTTCAAAATAAGAAACAAATTACAGCCTCACCAATCATGTCTATCGAATTAATCGGAAATAATGCCACACACGTTTTACAAAAAATCCAAACATTTCTGTGAACGACACATATTTATATTTTTCTCATGAAACAATGATGTCAACATTTAGTATCAATCACTCATGACAATAATGCACATTAGGAAAACCCTAATATCTATTAAATAAAGTGCATATATTTTTTTTTTCTCTCGGGGAAAAAAAAAATCAATCAACCCTGTAAATAATGCCACATAGGCAAACGGACATAGGAAAAATGTATAAATTATTCACTTGGAAAAAAAGATCCCAAAACCTCTTATCAAATCTTATCAATTATGAATTAAAATAAATTATGCCAATAATGCCATGTAAGGGGGATGAAAATTTACATTTGTATGGGTGGAAAAAAATGCATTTATACATTCTCCCTTTGGAAAAAAAAAAAGCCAATCAACAACGTCCACAAAAAATTAATGGCAAAAATCCTATAAAGGCAAATAGAAATGCAAATACTGATACATTTTACCTTGAAAGGAAAAAAAAAAAAATCATAATGCAAAGAAATGCCTTCCAATTCAGTCTGGCTGATGCCGGGATGGCTTTTGACTTCGTGGGAGGTGTTTGGGAGCACTGGAAATGAGCCATAATTTCCAGTTGCTGCATTTGTCCTGAAGCTCAAGCGAAGTTCCAGTAAAATGAAGACGAAACTGACAGGCCTGACAGTCACAACGTGCACCTGGTGATAAACGGATGCAGAAATGAGGGCAAAAAAAATTTCAGGTTAAGTGCAGGCCTCACAGGCCGTCATCAATCAGGCCTTTGTTGACACAGCGTGATTTATTGCTTTATCGTTAAAATGAATTGCTTTTTTTTTTTTTTTTTTACCTGGCCAAACAGGACCCATTTTATTTCATGTAGCGTATGCCAAGCGGACATTTCAACTCTCCACAGGTCACGCAAAAATTAAGAAAAAAATGAAAATATCGATGCATAATTTTTTTCCTTTTCTGAAAAAAAAAAAAAATCCAAAAAAAAACCCAGCACTTAAAAAAAAAAAACATGTCCATTAACCATGTCACTCTAGGAAGTGGTGGGCTTGAATCTAAATTTAGAATGAATGCAATTTAAAGATACTTTTTTAAAAACATAAAAATAACAATTCCAATCAACCAGGTCAAGAATCAAGAATCATTTCAATGAAGCACAATAAAAATCTCTACTAAGAAAAAAACCCTTGCGAGACTAATAAAGGTTTTTTTTTCTTATCTTATCTTTTCTGTTGAGAAAAAAAATTAAATAAAATAAATGCCATGGAGTCATAGCAATAATTGATACCCATCAATCATGCCAATAATGCTCAACAGTCAAAGATAACTCCATTTCGAAAACTACAACACGTTTCTTTTTATTTTCTCTTGAAAAATAAGACAACCAATTTCCAGTCAATCATGCCACATAGCACCCCCTCCCCCAAATCGCCATTTCTATAAAGCACATCACATATTCACACTTTTTTTTTCTTATTGGAAAAAGAAACGTCCATAAATGTCGATGTAATAGAGTAGCCTCCATATTTTGAGATTATTTACCTCGAGGAAAACAAAAACCAAAAACCCACTGCCAGTCAATCATACCAATGATTTGATAGACAATAAAAGTTAGTACCATAATTAGTTTTAAACATTTTCCATTTCAAAAAATGAAAAAAAAAAATCATTGATGACAATCACCACTGTCAAACAATCTTATCAATATTGCCACACAGCTCAAACATGACATGTTTGCACCGATGGTCATTAATCATGACAATAACGTCGCATTCTTTGGGATACAATATTATAATAATAATAACATTATTTCATGTTAAAAATATGATGCAACCATCAATCACATCAAAAGCAACGTCAATCATTATTAATGCTGCGTGGGCGAAAAAATAAATACAAAATACAAAATCAACATGGCATTGAAAACAGTCCATCATATCTTGTCGTGCCAACATGTCGCTCATCGCTTCACTTGTTGATATCCACGCAGCTTTTTCCT